GTCGAGGCCCGACCTCAGAAGACAGAATGCTGTCTTTCTGGAACTACTGGGTAGAAGGATGAAGGGGTATCTGGAAGAAGGATGGAGACATTTTGTGAGGACGCGTTTGCTGTCAGAAAGGCGCCAAACCGGAATCTGAAGACAGGGGGAAGAGAATGAAAGATCAAGAGGCAACATTTCGACCCTTCAAACAGGAAGGCCAGGCGGAAGGTCAACACGACCGAACACAGCGGCAAGAAGCACAACAGGCGGAAACGGCGTTGACAAAGAAGATATTTGCCGCGCTGAGCGCTGAACTCTCATCTTCACGGCGTTCATACGCTGATTGGACAGATGACGCATGGGATTCGTCCTGGAACTGGAGGGGAAGGAGCTGGCATTCGAATCCGGCCAAACACACACGATGCTTTTCAGCCCATTGAAGTTACCCAAGAAGGCGCAACCTGCACGGAAACCTATAGCAAATCAAAGCTGCTTTGGGCGCCTGTGGTTAACCCGCAGCCGAATCCGACCTACGCCATCCGTGACAACGAACGAGCAAGGTCAAGCCCCCGCCAGGCAGGAGATACGGTAGAAATTGCCAAAACCATACAGGAAACACTGGCAGCCAGTCCCTGGAAGTTGACAGCAGAAAGATTGCTCAAGGCGCAGGCCAGGCTTGTTCTGAACCCGATCAAATCAGGAACTTCGCCGCCCATACAAATCAAGCAGCAACAGGACGAGATTCGCGCAAGTAGGTCCAGCCACTTGATCCAGGAGTGTTTCTCTTAGAAGATATTCTGGAAACATTCTCTGACAAGGTGGTGCGCTCGAGAAAGAGGTGGAAGCCGTCGATGCGGAGTGCAACGGGACGAGCAGCAGCGCGACGGTCAAGGTTCAAGATCCACCATGCAACAACCACTAGCGATTTTTGTGCAAAAACTTTGGAAGACGAGGAAACACTGTCCGCCAAGTATAGGGATCGATTTGTTTCGACAAAGCCCAATAGCGCAGCATGTGGTATGGTGGCAACGGATTGAGATGCTTATTTGTACCTTCAACAGATTTGAAAATGCACTGTATTCTGGCAACTCATTTCCGGAAGCGCCGTGTTTCAAGCCAATGCTGAGGGCCCGCCAGAAATCCGCGTCCTCCTCCTCGCCCATCACATGGACAGCCGCCAGACCGGACCGCCAACTCACAAGAAAGCTGCCAGCTTCATCCTCGGGTCAACCCAATCGACTGGGGGTTGGTGTTTCTTTGCCGGTTCTTCACCTGAACCGCAAGATGCTCACAAGAAGAAGAAACAGTAGAGCTGCACTTCCCCAAAAAGCAGAAGGAGACCAACAAGGTCAAGGAGCTGACCAGGTTATCCTAAACCGAGCAAGGCCCGCAAAAGACGGGGGAAACTAGGAGTTGGAAACCACCAGTGGGAGTCAGGTACGGGGTGTTGGAAACTGCCAGGGCAGGAGTTGGAAACTGTCCCCAGCGGGAGTTGGAAACTCCCGCCGCTGGAGTTGGAAACCGGTGGGTTTGTTTAGGGCCAGGGTTGGTTTAGGATTGGTTTAGAGTTGGTTTAGGACTGGCTAAGGTTTTGTTAAGGGTTGGTTCAGGGCTGGCTTACGGTTGGCTTAGGGCTGGTTGGTTTAGGGGTTGGTAGGCTGGCTTTGGTTTAGGGTTGGTTTAGGTTTGGTTAGGGTTGGTATAGGGTTGGTTTAGGGTTGGTTCACGGTTGGTTTAGGGTTGGTTCACGGTTGGTTTAGGGTTGGTTTAGGGCTGGTTTAGGGTTGGTTTGGTCGTTGGTTGGTTTAGGGCTGGCTTAGGGCTGGTGTAGGGTTGGTTTAGGGTTGGTTTTATGGTTTGTGGTTGGCTTACGGTTGGTTTGGGCAGGATTGTTTTGTTGGGTTATGGTTTATGGTAGGCCCAGGGTTGCTTCAGGCTTAGGGTTGCTTTATTTAGGCCTGGTTTAGGGTTGGTTTAGGGGTTTGGTCAGCTTGGGCTGGTTTAGGGGTGTGGCCTCGTGGCGCCCGTGGTCCCGTGGTGGATGTGGTCCGTGGTGCCGGTAGTGTTTTATATTCTATTTTTTATAATATAGTGCTTTTTATAGTACTCCTCGTGCTGCTTCCGTAGTGCCCCACTGGCAGCTAGCGCTCTCCAGCGTGATAGTTTACAACTCGCGTGTGATCTGGTTCCAACTCTCGTCAGGGCAGTTTCCAGCTCGCGCCATAGGCAGTTTCCAACTCGCGCTCCTGGCTTCCAACTCCCAGTTTCCAACCCCCACGTCGCCTGCAAAAGACGATCAACCCCTCACAGGGGACGCTGGAGACATCCGTCAGGGCGCCGAAGCCACCGTCGATGACCGGAAGCATGAGCGCTCAGAATCCCTGAGCGTGCTGAGACCAACCAAATGCGCACAATTGGTTTCACACCTTGGCTATCTCAATGAGGCCGGTCGGCAAGATCGAGCCGATTCATGCAGATCACTCAAAGTGTCGCCCGAGCAAATTACATGGGCGTCGTGGTCAAGCGGAAAAGCTCAAAAGCATGCTTTGTCAAGGGGAGCCAGACGAGTCGACTGAAACTTTCGCGCGACATTGCGCCAAGAGATCATCGCACTGCGCTAAAAGCATGGGCATTTTCACATGCTATTTTGGAGTGGCAGACGAGAAGAGAACACTGAGCGCGCCAAGCCATGAGCCGATGAAACCGCCGGAAAATTATAGAGGCTCGCAGATCACGAGGACATTGGGTCCACCGACCCGGTCTTTTAGCAACAACAGTTGCCGTGCTACAGGTTCATCCAACCCACGCAGGAGCAGTCAGAGCGGAAGTTCCTTCCTTTGATTTGAACGGCGGTGTCGATCAAAAAAGTGCAACTCCATGCCCGCAGCTCCAGAGACGTGCCATCCAGGAGTTGGACATATGAGCGCCCGGTATGGTAGCCAGCTGTACCAAGGACATGCTTCATAATCGCAACAGTTCGTCAAGCAAGATGTCCTATCCTGATTGACCTGCGTTTTGCACGGAGGAAAGCTCTTGGGCGCAAAAACCAGAGAGAAGCCACATATACAAGTTGGTCACGTGAAGAAAAGATCGACTTTCTGACGTTCTCTCCAACTACAAGGTGTCCTCCGGGCGTATCAAGCGCTTGAAGAACGAGATGCTCCGTGAATACTGGCACTTCCCACTCATGGTCAGCTCCAAAAAATAAAGATTGAGCCGAAAGCTCCGAAGGTGCGAAGAAGAAGAGGAAGAAGGAACACGCGTGGCAGAACAGCCAACGACCAGGCAGTCGCGACGACTACCAGAAGAACAAGGCCTACCAGGGCAGCTCGAAATTCTACAGCTGGACATGACCAAGAAATGTGATTCTTTAAGCGATGATATCTAGATATGACTTAACCTTATGGAGTTTCAATTAGATGCAGAAGTCCAAAACTAATTAGTGTTTGTTTTCGTTATTGACCATCATGTCCAATCAAGACTACTCAGGAAACGAGTGCGTTAGGGAACCCTCATTTGGACGACCCTTTTTCACTCGCAAGTAGATTAATAGGGCCTACTTGTACTGTTGTTGGTCAGGGCCCCTCCCGCAGCATCGGTTCACCAAATAGGGGGTAGCTTTGTTCCGGCCAATTCAGGTTCGCAGTGGTGGAGATGTGTGAGATATTTGTTCCCGCAACCTGGATGGTTATGTCCTGCGCTTTCCAAAGCAACGTGTTTGGACACAATCGGCAGTATTTCCTCGGGTTTGCCGGCACGACAAATGACCAGTTTCTGGAGGGGATCTTCAACAACCTGTTGTCACTGCTGGTGGAGCTGATGCTTTTGTCTGCTGCGCACGCGGCTTTGTTCCGCGTCTTTGCAGTGAATTTGTTGGAGTTCGTCAGCGTCGTGTTGTGGGTCAACTTCCGGTTTTGGCTCTTCGCCCTGGTCTCCGTGGTGATTTTATGGATTTGTACCATGCTGGAGCACACTGCGACTGGAGGAAAGTTTTGAATGAACAGACCCCTCTTTCGAGCAAAACTTTCTGGGAAGTGAATTCCGCGTCCATGGGGAAGGGCGTGCGAAACATGGAGCTTGGTTCATCCGGGCTTTGCGAGAATTTCTTCAGCATCCTTTGGGTCCGCGAGATGGCGGGCTAAAGAGTTAACCTGAAGGCATTTTTTTTCTCTCCCTTGGAGGGTAGTCAGGCAGGCTGTCGGTTGTGTGTCCAAGGGGACACCCTTCTTCTCATCCATCGGCCTTTGATTATATGACTGGCAGAGGACTGACTTGTTCCTGAACTGGGATAGGCTCTGCCACGTGTCGAGACCCGAGCTCCATTTTCGAAGTTTGGCGGCCAAAAGGAGTCTCAGTCGGAGAGCGTGACGGAGAACTCGACCGAAACCGCGTTTCAATCATCTGAATCCTCGGGGTGTTTCCGATTGGGGACCTCGTTTCCGGGGTTTGCGCATGTTTTCAGGTGTGCTTCATGCTGTTCATGCTGTTGCCGTTGCCGGACTGCTGAAATGGGAAGCCAAGTGAGACTTGCATGGGCGCGGAAGCGCTTGAATTGGTCCGTGCGGCGATCTTGCCTGTTCCCAGGGGCTTTCTTGAGGAAAGGGCCGTCTGCTGTTTGCGCTGATGTAGAGACGCCTTCTGCAGGCCTCGGAATCCCCTTTTCAGGATGGAGGAAAATGACGATTTGTTTGGGTCCCCCCACTCAATGACGAACCGGTTCTTTCTGCACAAGTGATGCCCTACTTGCTTCGGCAGCTTCACGAGCCCGAGTATCAGGAAGCAACTGTGGGACACATAGTCTATATTCTCCAGATGGGCGACTGAAACGAAACCGGGCAATCAAGACTGCTATATTTACCCTTTGCTGCGAGCAGTCGATTATTGGACGGGTGTACCGCAGAGCTCCTCTGGTACTTTCCCCTCCCCCGCTACCTGGGGTTTTGATTTGTGCCCAGCGGAACCCCCAACAAATTCATGCGCGCTCACTGGCCCACTCCCCAAAATTTGTCGTCCGCCAGGGTCCTGGGGAAGTTGGGCCGGCGCATCGCAGAGGCGATCGCCTGCTTTGTGGGGAGGCGGTCCCGAAACGCGAGCCGGTGGTGTTGGCAAGCGGATATGTGGGCCGGCGGAAAAACAACAACTTGGCTGATTTAGAGGATCCGAATCCTTGTGCAGGTGGATGTAGGAAGCCTGTCTGAGGGTCATCAAGACAGAGATGGAAAAGGCCACGCACCAAACTTGCTTGGGTTTCAAGACTGACCTTTTGGGTGTCCTCCGTTGTCCATTTTTCCCAGGGATCGAAGTCGGGCTTTTCTAGCCAAGCTGCAACCCGACTTGTGAATTTCGGCCTCGCATTTGCCTTAGGCCTCAGCATATCGGCGGGATGAGCATATCGGCGGGATGACCATCCAAAAAAAGTCATTTAATGTTTTAGCAATCAAGAAAAAAACTTCTCGGTATCAAACAAAGCTATTGCAATCAAAGACCACTTTCCACAGTCCCTCGGAATTGCTTGTAGACTTGTGTTCGTTGGTGCTTTGGTCCTTTGGTCCCTTGGTCCCCCGGGCCTTTTCTTTGGAGGGCCTTTTTTTTTACCCATGTTTGTTTGTTTTTCACGGTGGATGGCTTTTGAGCGTTTCGGCTTTTGTGGTTTTTTCGTGGGTTAATGCGGCTTTTGGCGTGGCTTTTCGCATCCTCTGCATTCCCAGTTCCTCTCCGGCAGGTGCCTTCTTGGGACGGCTGAAAGGCAACTGGGTGAACTTGTCTCGACTCCAAGACGACATTTGTCAGAGCATGCTGTCCTATGTGCGCTTGGGGCTCTACGCCGGCACGGCCGAATCCTCCTCACAGGACTACAGCCTCTGAACCCACACCCCCGCAAACCCCAAAAACCACTCACAGCCTCTACCTGGACCATAGAACTGGTCCTCTCAGAAGTGCACAGACCCCCACAAAAAACATAAAGACAGTCATCTGAATCGACAGGCCCCGGTGCCATCCACTCACGGCTGAGTTGCCATTTTTGGGTGAGCTTTAAAGGAGACCAAAGGAAACACTTTGCGCCATGTTGGGGTCCAACCTTAAGCAACACCCATGCGTTCCATTTTGGGGTCGTTTTGCCAGGCACGGACCACATCCCTTGGCGCGACCCTTGGCCGGGGCGCCGGCTACATTCGCGCGGCTTGCGAAGGGCTATTGGGTCCTTCCCTCGAAAAGGATTAGCAAAGGACCCAAAAGCAGAACCCCCCCCTGCCTCCTTTAGCTAAAACAACCATTTTGAGCTGCTCCCCCCCACCTCTCGGAGAGAAGGGGATGCGGGTGGCAGCCAAGAAGCCGTTTGACCAAGGAGCTGAACAGGTCCATGCGGGCCTTCGATCGGGAAATCTGATGCGGCACTTTTCTGACCCCGAGGGAACCAACTTTGGCTCCGAGATGATTTTTAGGGGATGCCACGGCATCCCGGCATGGGAGGGGATCTAGGTCACATTTCGGGGGAACATGTGTGCGAATCATCAGGACGAAGGAAACACCGGAGTTGACCTTGGTGGTTTACTCTTGAAACCATGGCCTCAGCTTGTGGGTGGCCCTTTGTTGGTGCCTTGAAGGCTACCCATTGACGCCTCACAAGGGGTTGTCAAAATTAGGGGCGCTTTTTGGTACTCCCTCCAGCAAAAAGGCAGGCGGCACTAGGCTCCAAAGAGGGCCTGAAATTTTGACCTTCATGACCGAAGTGGAGCCTTCCTTGGCCAGTCCCATGTTCAAGAAGCAGTTCCGGGCGATGAAAAGAGGCTTGCGGCCACCTTGCCTCTCCCCATTGGCCATGTCTCCGTGCACCCTTCGGCGCCGTTGCCAGGGTTTGGGTTTTTATCCTCGAGTCTCAGAGACAGGACCGACATCCACCCCAACCCCCCCGAAAAAAAAAGAAAAAAAAAGGAAAAAACAAGAAAAAAAAAAACTCGAAGCGAAGGGAGCCCCGAAGCGGTTCTCGATTGGTCTTGCTGAGGATGAGCGAAAGAACAGGTGCCAACTACATGGGTGCCCATCTTTTTTGGGGGGGACCTCAAAATGGCGGTCTTCCTTCTGGTTCCCCTTGGAAAAACCAGCTTCAAAAATGGATACCCTCAAAGAAAGACACACCCATATTTCCCCTTTGGTAATAACAACATATTGCCCTTGGTTGCCATTCCCTCATTTTAGTCATCGCCCTTGCCGATGGAAATCGGGCCATTTGCTTTCGCCCTGGAGCTGTTTAGTTGTGATCTTTTTTGTGGGTGTTTCTGAAGATTGGGTTTTCTTTTGGTTTTCCATCCCTCCGAAAAAAAGGCCCCGCTATTTCGAGGTTTTCTTGTGGCTTTCTACTTGGGGCGCTGGTTTCTTCAGTGGTTTCAGGTGGAAGAGGTGCTGCTGGCCAAGGTGAAGCTGACCCTGGGAGGCCAAGTTCGGAAGCCGCCGGCGCATGTGGCTCGCCCATGTGGTGGATTTTGAGAGGGCCAGCTCAAGTGAATTCTGAGGTCCAGCCCTATGAACATTCACACCCAGTTGAAGGTTCCTCAAAATAGAGAACCAAAGCTGGTTGCTTTCTGTTTAGTGTCCCTTTGCCATTCAAAAGGGTGTACCACTTTGAGAACGGTGGGTTTTGCACAGATGCATCCTCAATTCCAACCCTTATGACTCATGTACAACACAAAAGCTACTGGGGGTTCCCGTGGCACTTATAGAGAATGGCAACCCAAAACCAACAATTGTCCACAACCATCCTTCTGGCGAAAGACGATTCCTTGGGCAAGCGCCTACAAAGACACACGCACCCTTTTGGAACGCACTCAGCCCACAGGAAAGCAGGAGACAGTGCAAACACAGCCAACTGATGCATGAAAAAAACAGAACGGACACCAAGGTAGGTGTCAAAATAGGGGGGCCCAAACAAAAAAGGGTGGCTGTGCTTTTTGTCCCGCTTTGACCCAAGCTGCAAAGGGTGCTTCACTTCAGGCGGATTCCCCGGGGTCTGAAAAAAGGCGGTTCTCCGGTTTCTCGGGCACAAACACAAGCCGAACTGCGGAGGACCTTCGCCCGTTGCCGCTTTCTATCCCACCCGCCGGGGCATCAGTGAGCTCGTGAGCTCGTCAGAAATTGCCCCGAAAGAGAGGAGTTTCTGAGGTGCTTCCATCCCTTTGATCAGAAGCCCATTCAAATTTTCTACCTCATCCATGGCAGAGACCAAGAAATGCAAGACTGTTCCTCCTGAATTTGCACTTGGGGGGCTCTGATAGACCACACGCGAGGAGGAGTTCGAATTGGGACCCTTTGGTGAACATTTCCATGGGGTTTTGCGTCCCCCGCCCTTTGGAGGGAGTCCCAAAGAAAGTGGGAAACATAGTAGAACATGAGATTGGTTTCTCCAGCTTGATATCAGCGAGAAGGTATGCCACAAGCAAACTATGTTTTCCACGGCACCTTCTCCCGGGGGCATCTGGCTCAGCCAGGCGAGGAGTCCGTGTTGCGCGAGGCGAGGCGGCGAGTTTCGTCAGTTTCCAGGGAGGGGGGCTGAAAGATCACATGGGCATGGGTCAAAAATAGGTACCCAACATGAAGCCCTGGAAAATAGGTTTTAAGGACTAACACCTGTTGTCCATGGTGTTTTAATTTTGACCCATGCCCACATCTAGGTCCCCCAGCACTGCCCTTGTACGCTTTTTTTGGGGAGGGTTCCCCTACTAAAATAGACTACAGAAAAAAGTTGGTACCCGTATTCTAACCTAGAACCTAGACATTCCTCTTGTAGCCTGTCAGGTGCTATGTTAGCGTGAGGGTAAAACAAAGCAGGCACTTTGAGGACAAACCCCGATTTTGCCGGAAACACAGATCCAGAGTCTCTTTCCATTTGCTGTCGTTGGGTCTGGCTTCACTGGGGACTTTTGTGGAGGTGGATTCCAGTTCGACATTGTTGACCGGGCAACTATGAGTCAATGATGGACTTGGGTTGCTTGAAACTCGCCGGGGGGGGGGGGGGAGGGGGGAATTTGTGGTCCATTGACCAAGGCCGACCGACATGACATATCCAAAACTATGCTTTCAAGACCCCATTCCAAAAATGGCTTCCCTTCACAGGCAATCGAAGGGGGTTTTCCCCTCATTCTAGAAACATGGCGGCAGCCAGGCCCCAGTTGAAGGCCATTTGTGCTTGCGCCTGAACCCCAACGTTGGGGTCGTAGCATCAACCAACCCTTTTGCCCCATTCTTCCCTTTGGGGTTTTCGCCGTTTCCTTGTTTTTCGGCAAGTCAGCCTTTTGCAGGGGGTCTGAGCCTGGAGTTATGGAGAACATCAGGTGGGTCCGACTCCAAAGGTGTTTGCTTTCAGTTTGGACCCTTGACCTATGGTTCAGCCATCAATATCTATCAACGCGGTCCTCCAAATGGTTGCTTCACTTTTGCCTTCAAAGCCAACCTGAAAGGGGCCTCCCAATTGTTGAACATATCCATATTGTCTATCCGAAAGCACCGTTTTTTGGGATTGTCCGTGCGTTGTTAGAATTGCTCGAGGGTAAGTGAGGGATTCGAGTCCATCGCTGTTTCTTGATTTTCAGAGGAACATAGCAAGTTGTCAGGGCGATTCGATTTCTGTGGGAGGTACGCCAAACTCTGGACCAACCTGGCAGAACATGTATCCAATTCCAGTCGTTGTGGTGTGCTTCGATCTTTTGCACCAGATCTCTCATCCCCTTCCCCGAATTTCTGAAAAGAAGACCATCTTCACCCACACTGGCCCAGCCCAGCGTGTTGTTGGATGTCCCCTGTGACCCTTTCACAAGCTTTGGGGTTTCTGAAAAGAAGACAGGTGTTTCTCGGAGAGTCCATGGATTTTCAACCCAACGACCTACCAACCGCACGGCAGGCGGTGGCTGCGAGCATGGCGGAGGATTTCGCGGACATCGATGGAGCAAAAAGCGCTCGCCCGGACGTTGGACGTGGGTTTTGCGCGCGGAGCTGCCTTTTTTTTGTTTCTCGGGTGTTGGCGGGAAGCCAAAAGGACCACCATCATTTTTGCAGTTTTTTTTTTCAACGGAACACCACAACAAACAGCACCATTGTGGGGGGGCACCCCAGAACAGGCACCATGCTATGGTCAGCACACCTTGCAATGTTTCGCATCTGTTTTTCTGTTTTGTTTTTTGACAAGTGTGGTAAGCTTACATTTGATAGGTCCACCCGCGATTCAATTTGATTTGCATCAGGGGATGTTAGACTCTTGCAAACGGGGCAGGCGCCGAACCATTTGTTTATTTTGTCCTTTGCTCCCGATTTAGTCAAAACACGCTAAACCACCTGGGACTTGGGTGTGACGTTTTTTGGAGACCCACGAAATGGCGGTCTTCCTTTTCGTTTCCCTTTAACCCCCCCACCAAGGAGTAGCCTCAAAAACACCGGCACCGATTGGTTGCGTTCAACGGGGAGTCCCTAATCAGCGGACTGGGATGTGTCGAGTTCCTTTGCGATGCAGCGGTGCTCTTTCCACAACCTTTTCGAGTCTTTGCATAGTTTGGGGAATACCACTTTGATACTGAATAGGTTTTGAGCAGGACTTAAGGGGGGGGGGGCTCGCACAAATGATTGGTTTCCTTGAAAGGTTTCCATGTTAAAGTTAGGGTAGGCCTTGCCCATCTTTTTTTGGTACCCGAGCGTGACCCCCACCCTACGCAAGAACAGCATTTTTCAACCATTTTTTCACTATTCAAATCGTCATCCTTATTCATTATGCATATTTCCACTCAAACCATTTCAGAACAGTCTCAACCTCAAAATCCATCAAAAAAGTTACATTTTTCTCATTTTCTATTCCATCATTCTTGTCATTGTTAGGATGCTTGAGTAGAAATAGGAGTATAGGGTGGTTCATATGATATGGTTATTGATGGTAGGATGCATGGGCAAGGCTAAGCTCATTCAAAAAAAAAAAATCAAAAATAATGTTTTCAAAAAAAATATATTTTCAAAAATAATATTTTCAAAAAAATATTTTCAATAAATAATATTTTCAAAAAAAAAGTAATTTTTCAAAAAATAAATTTTCAAAAATATTATTCCAAAAATTATGATAAATTATCTTACAATATTTTATCATAAATTTTTGTAGAAATATTATGGGCAAGGTTAGGTAGATAGAATTTTATAACTTAAGTTCAGGATAATAATTCAATTGATGACCATTAAATTGTGTGTATATCGTATCTCTTTCATACATCATTTTAAAAATAATATTAATATCTCTCACGGTATTTTTCACATTAAATTTTTTTCCTTCGATATATGTTTTAATGTCTTCTTTTACATCAAACCCTTCCCTAAAATGACAAGTCAACATCCACAATATACCTTTAATCATTTCATATTTTTTCTTACTGATTTTCAGAAATATTCTAACATAACTATAATGTGGTATTTTATACACAGTTAAAAATATCAAAATGGCATCTTCAACATTTCTATTATTTCTTCTTTTTTTCCTCAACAAACAATTGATTATAGCTTGATTATCTCTCCATTCCTGACAATTTTCACATTCGCCTTTTTCATCCAAAGAATAATCAATAATATTATTAACTATTCCATTAGGTAAATTCAATTTGTATAATTCCATATTTTCCTTTTTGAAGTGGCAACAGTCGTAGCATTTCTTATTGATATAATTATTGATTTCGGTTTCAACCATTTCTATTATAATATATATAGTTTTTATTTCTTTAAATACGTTTTACAAGAAATATTAAAAAATTATTTAAATTATTATCATTTACAACTACAATTGCACCTAACACAGTAGGGAATAATATTATTCAGTTCGTGCGACAACTCGTTTGATTTACGTTGCGCTGTTAGATTTGTCATTATATTTCCATTTTTCATATCCATAGAAAAACCGCATCCGCAGTAATTGCATTGATTATTTATATTGTCTAAAAACCACTGTGCATTTACATAACCTTCTTTAGGTATGGTTCTTTTTGCTTTCCTGTCCTGTTCCTTGTAGTTTAATATTTTTCTTTCAAAATAACTTAAAATACATTTTTGATTAAATACATCATCAATATTTTTCGTATATTTATAAAATTTGACTTTGTTTAAATCTCTACACCTTGTAATTGCTGTCCATATCCATTCTGGATAATCCTTTACCAAAAAATGATTATAATCAAAAATTGTTATGGTGTCATCAATGCTACTACCTTGAGCAGAATGACATGTAGAGCAATAAGCAAATATAAAATTGCTTCTTATTTTAGCAACTTCTACGGATTGTAAAATATCGGTTTTGACATTTTTTAATGTAAATATTCCATCGTTATCAATATGAACTATTTTATATTTGAAATTTACATTAAACACTGATGTTTTAGTTTTAGTATATTCCCTACATGTCAAAAATTCGCCTACTTCGTATTCATCTTTTCTATTTTCTAATTTTCTAATTTCATTTGAGACATTTTTACAAGTTGTATTTAAAAATGCTATGTTGTTGTTAGAATTGCTTATGTCAGTTGTATATTCGAAATATTTTTCAATAACTTTCATAATAGGTAATTTATTTTCAAAAATATCAAATTTAATATTTCTTAGTTTATCCTTATCTTCCTGTGTGTTAAGTCTCTTACATTCTTTTAACAAAATATTATATTCAAAAATGTTATCTATAATATTATCAGTATATAATTCATAGTCTCGAGTATTTGTTATCTCTTGAACTGGTTTTAATTGCTTGGTGTCTCCCGTTGCTATTATAATTTTGTTGTGTTTATTCTGCTCTACAAATTGTTTTATTCTCCAATATATATTTAAATTACTGAAATAAATTTCATCAAATACGATTACATCAAATTCTGTAAAATCAAATGGTTCTAATTTTGCATCGCCGTAGTTTATTCCAAAAAACTTATTTATAGTCATTGCTTCACCTTCGAATGCCTGTAATAATTTATTAGTAGGACAAATAAATATTACCTTATATTTTTTATCAACCATTTTTTGACATATATATGATTTTCCTGTGCCCGGTAGTTCGCCCCTGATCATAATAGGGTTATTCTGTTTAACAATCTCTATAATGTTATCAGTGTCGTATTCATCTTTAATATCAATAGTTTTACTTTCATGAACTGGTATTTTTATTAGATCATTCTTAACAACTTCATATTTTACAGTAGGAAGATTAATTTCATTGTCTCGCCCAGAAACTTTCCAACCTCCTATATCATTATGAAATTCTAATAATTGCTTTGCTTTCTCTACATTGTATGAATCAATTACAAAAGCATCGGTTTTCACACTATATACATTAATATCGTTGACTATTAATTTGTAAATGTCTTGGTTCATTTTAAAATTATGATGTTGCATGAGTAGTTCTTTAATATATCTATAGCCGTTTCTTAATACTGCTTTATCCCTTAATTTTAATATATAATATGATGCTTTTATATTTCTTTCATCTAGTTCACGTGTATACTCTTCATACTCATCCTCGCGCTCTTCGTCTTCTGTACCTATACGTGATAACCTATGAATTTTGCCTTCTATCTGTGATAACTTATGAATTTTGCCTCCGTATTCTGTTTGATAATGGATTGCTTCATCAATACTCTTAAACAAAATGCTTTGATGCGCGGTAGCCTCTCCCTTCTCTAATAATCCAAAATTGACATTTGCTATTAATTTTTTACTTAGTATATCATCATCATCATCATCTTCATCTATAGTAGTTTTCCAAAGTTCATTAACCATATCCTTATAGTTTGTTTTATGAATAAACGAAGGTTGTTTATAATATAATACTTTAATATTATATTGATTAATAAACTTTTTTAAAAACTTACCATAAACTAAATTATATTTTTTATTAAACATTAAGCCCTCTTTATTCCCCAGTACCGTTTTTGTCATTATGAATTCAACTTCTTCTTTTGATTTAAATTTTAAACTTTCCTCCAAAAGATGCTTACGTTTAATACGTTCCATACTGTATTTATTTGGTATATTCGGATAGTTAACTTCAATATAATATAATGTTAGATCGTGGAGTTCATCAATATTAATTGCATCATTGTATTCTTTCCAATTGTCAAACTGATTAAAAACTGGTATTTCAGTAATATCTATGAAACCTTTTGTAAATGCCTTATTTACATCGATTTCAGTTATA